TCACATACTTATTTCTGCCTGATCCCTGTATGAGACAGCGGCTGACTACCAGAGGCTGGCCTTCTCACCTCATAACCTCTCTGTATTTCTCCTGGGGCTCTGCAGACCCCTGCTTAGCAGATGTAGCTCTATGGTCAACAGGCTGGCTCTTGTCAGTCATCTCGCTTGACTCCTTGCGGGGTCAGAGGACCAGAGGTTGAAATCCCTGACCTAGGAGAACTGTCTTCTGTTTTCACAAAATGACCGTGCTGTTTGAAAGGCTGTTTTATCTCTTGGTTTGACAGAAAAAAGTCACAAAATTCTGTGTCTTAGTCTGCAAGGGTAGCTCAGAGTGGCCTCTACGGACAGATACGTGTGTGAACACAAAGATGTGATAATACAAAACTGTGCAGTGCATTTACCAGAAAGTGTTTCTAAATTATATAGGAAGTGGAAAGTTGACATTCAATTGAAATGGGATTTTATATTGTCACTCTCCTTTTCCCAGTGTTCTGATTTCAAGCAAAGAAGTACCGTGTGAACACAATGCTTAGGTGTTTTTGGAGCTCAGGTCCTGTTTTTGAAAGTAGGGCAGGTCACGGCTGGCCTGTCCACTCCGGGCTCAAGCGTCTCTGCCTCTTTTCTCTGGTGTTCTACTAAAACTTATTCCCAAATACGTGTGTAAAGCCAGGTAGTCTGGATGTAGTACAAGCTAGGACTTTGTACTCAGACACAGATCATGCCTATCCTAAGATGGTGTACAGAGCTAGCCTAAGAATCCACATAACTTTAAAAATGGGAATTAAATTCCTAAAATTTTTAAATATTTGAAAATTTTCTCAGTTCTCTTCACTATCGAAAAAAAAGCCCAATTTTCCACCACTATAAAGACAATTAAAGAAGAAAAACCTATTACTTTTACTGTATCCATCTAATACTATTCTTAAACTCATTGCACTTGGAGTCCTTCTTTGGTTGCCATGTGCTGGGTAACCCCTCCACTGCTCAGTCCTCGGTCGTCTCATGTGAAACAACTAGTAGACAAAGGCTCTGAGAGAAAGTAAGGCAAGTGAAATAATCTACGCAGTTCAAGAATTGAAACTGTCCACATCCCTATTCTAATGCCGACTGGTTCTGTAGTGCTGAAGTGAAACATTTTTAAGTCAGAATTTAGTTTGTATACGGAATAAAAATAAGAAAAACTAGGAAAATTGCCACTGAGGTGGTCAGTTAACTTTAATACTGTAAAGCGGTTTTAAAAAAATTCCATATTAAGAACACATAAAGAGTTTACAGGCTGCAACACGATAAATGTACAGATTACTATATAGAGTTTTCACGATTCTGGTTGGTTCGAGATTCAAAACGCACAGAGTTACTATCCCTGCTGTACAAGTTAAGATTAACCAAAGGGCTCAGGTGACAGAAAGAATTTATGAAGGAAGGAAAGAATGACATGCCAAACTTGTAACAAATGAAGTGGTTGTGTTTGCTCTAGTAGTAAGGCACCAGTCAAGAAAAAAGACGACCAAGAATAAAGTGGCAGAGAAAAGTGAATCTAACAGCACTGAGAATGAATAGCATGCTGTTTGAACGCTGCGGGCGAGATCCTGGCCCTTAGTGAAGTTAGTGGAAACAAGCTGCATGAGCCTGGGTTTATATTCCGTGCTAAGGAAATGTTAATATCCAACATTCCAGGTAAGTTTGTGCAGGGGACGTAGTCAGAAAGAAGATGCTACCCTGAATTAGTGCCCTGAAATGTACATATTTTAGGGGTTATGTTACGTATTATTTGAAATTGTTTTAAAATTATGCTTGGGAATAGTCTTAGATGAGGATCTGCTCGCAGGCATTGACCAAACTAAGAAGAAAAGATGTCCGCTGATCCAAGGAACTGAAAATCCAGTTACCCCTCCCGAAAAATCTGCAGACAACATTCAAAGACTTTATGAGATAGTAGTATTGATCTCAGTAAACCAGCAGCTTTACCTAAGTGTCATCCTTGTTAGTAAGGAAGACTCTTACAGAACGCTCCGAAGGAGCATAATGCGGCAGCTTTGTTAATATCTCCCAAACATGGGAACGGCACAGGAGAAAGCATAATAATGTGTTTGGAAACTTAATAACCCAGTGATGAAGAAGGCGTTATCTGACCCTTTATGACTAAAAACTGTGTTTGAAGCAATTGATAAGGTAAATCAGTAAAGGTACAAAGAAAGTCAATGACAAATACTGGCAATAAAAAATTACTTATATACAATATTCAACGGATTTATTTAAATAGGTAAATATATCATTTATTAGGAAAGAGTATTTAATTCACAACAAAGAGGCAGCTGATGGGTCTATAAGATCTTTAATTTCTTGAAGGAGAGAAATAGGAAATTACTATTCAAGTGTTTCTCATAACCTAAGATCTCATAAAGTTACTTTGAAGCACATAAAAACCTCAAAAGGGAAATGCTTTTTAAATGATCCACAAGTAAATCGCAGAACTTACTGCCACAGAACGACTTGGCTCCCGACATACAAGTGAGCTCCAAAAGCAGTTAGACAAATTCATGGTAAAATCATCCACCCGAACTAACCTGAACACCATGATGCAGACGCTGCCTCCCACTCAGAAAGTCCCTAAAACTGTGCTTAGCCAGGAGTCAGGAGGAGGTATGAAGAGAAGCATCACTTGCCTACTTGCCCTGATTCTTTTCCTAATTAGCAATTGGCTAAAATCAGAGACATGATAATAGCAGCTAATTGTCTTTTGTAGCCGTCTGTTGCGTTTTCCTTGGTCGGACCCAACAGAGCAGTTTTGGGTTAAGTTGTACCTTTTGCCTGGAAGTCTGTAGGTACCGTATACAGCAGTTAGCAAATGCGTAGCTATAATGGACCTCCGGGCAGTTGAGATTAGCACGCCTTTCATATAAAAGATGTTGAGGTAGTATGGCTTCAAAAACGCGTAGTGATGATATAAAGCTCTGAAAACATTTTACACCTGGATCGGTACAAAACTTGGTCTTGCTAGACTGCCTTAACAGGTGCGTTGCTCTGGGTAGTCCATTCATCCAGTACAATAAACCATAATAAAACATGAATGGTGCCGTAAAATTACATCGATCCAGTGCTCTTACCATATGATGTCCTCACTGGAGAGCACGTTCCTGTTTGCAGGTGCAAGGACTTGTAATGAAAGTTCGTAGTCCACTGAAATGAAACAGCACTCAAAATGTATTCAGTAGGCTCTGTAATGCAGCACAAGGCATATCTGTATTGTGTAAGTTATAAAATCAATACAAGGGATGGTTTTCACATGCTGCTTAGCTGATGCGTCCCTTCCTACACTAATGTAAAGAGCTGCCAGTATCCGTGCTGCTGTATTTACTGCTGCCAACTCGTACATGGCGTACAAATGTAGAAGAGGCTTTATTCTTCCAACTCAAAGGAGAATGAAACTCTCTTCCCCTTCCCTTTCCCCATCCTTTCTCCTTCCTCAGTAGGACTGAAAATCCCACATCACTGATGTCTGCCTTTCCGGTATTTTTAAAAAAAGTTAAAAAAGGTGTAGAAGATAAAGAGTGTAAAGTCGCTGTAAAGATACCCCAGCTGGCTTTCTGTTGACAGCCCCGGGTGTTGAAAATGGCTTAGGTGTGACAGCCAGATCCCTGTGGCCGCGGAGAGGCAGCTGTGGACTTTAAAGATGGCTACTTTGTGCATCTGAGCTTTGAAAATGGCAAACTGGAAGCGGTGGATTTAAGTTGAGATCCCATCATGAAAAATCGATGGCCTGCTTAATCCAGCATTGGTATTTTGTAATTTCTGTCCGGATCAACTGATTTCCATGGGCATTATTTAGAAATGAAAAAGTTTTAATTTGCAAATTATCAATGTATTTTGGGATTGAAAAAATTATTGCTACGGCACAATAATTCCTCTGCAACAGGCTGCCCACACGGAAGCATTTCTGGTCTGCCCTATTGCTGAAAATCTGTATGTGCATAATCACTGCTGGACAACTCGCCAAGCAGAAACTATTAGTTAGTTAAAATGTTCATTTTAGCTTTGCAGTATGGCTTCCTCTGTTCTCCTTTTGTTAAACACCAATTATTAATATAAGGATCGGGATTATGAAATAAATCCTGTTTTAAGTTTCAGAATGAAATGATAACTTACTTTCCTTAAAACATTTACTGCAAGCTTAAAAATACTTTTTCTTGGTGTGTACTGTTTAACTGAAATACTGGTATATGTCTGCAATAGAGATATAACTAAACAGGAGTACTTTTTGTGACAAGAATTTAGAGTAGGTGACACTGCTGAAATAGGAAATGTTTCATGTTTCTCAAGGCTATGAAAATATCACCAGTGGCAAGCTTGTTCATTTTGGCTGCTAGAACTGAATTTTTCAGGAACAACATTTATGAAGCATATAGCTGTATAAACCTAGAGATACACGTTTGATATTTGACTCTGAATTTTTTATTAATATAGTGAAAGTTTTATAACCATAAGTGTGATTGTTAATTATTGAATTATCTGTTCTACAAAAGTGCTTTAATTAAATGGAGTTCATTTGGTCCAAAAAAATGCGTGGGCATTTTGCCTTGGAGTTTTAAAATGACTGTGTTTTAAGAAGTACCTTTGCTTGCCTAACTCGATAGAGGAATATTTTGGGAAAATTTCATTGTACATCTTTGTCTAATGCATATTTTTCTTCACCAAACAGTAGCAACGGTAAAAATAATTGCGTTTGCCATCTAGCTAAGGTGATGTTGTTAATGATACTGTGCATTTTGCATTCTCCTTAATGGTCTGGAGTTTACAGCTCTGCTGCGTGCTGAAGTGTTCAGGGTGTCTGCTGAAGATTAAATTGTTGCCTGACTGGAGGATAAAACTGGAGCAGGGCAACACTGATCCTTTTCTGCTTTATTGCTTGGCTTAAATAAGTGATTTAATCAATTTACTGTGTAATGTGTATTAATATAATTGTTTCATGAATATTGACAAAAATCTTTTTAAACTTGCAGCAAGTAGTGGCAGCAATAAATGCAGGAATCATACCTTTAGGAAACACATCTACTCAGATCAGTCACTGGGACTTGGGAAGTTCCTTCTTCTTTGCTGGCACTGTTATTACCACCATAGGTAGGACACAGCTTATTATCTTTTTACAGTAAATGAGCTGAAACTCTTTTGATTTCCAGCGTGTGCATTTATTTGTTAATGGTAAATCTTCCAAATCTTCTGACGGAAAGTGGAGAGTTACTTTTTAGCTGTAGGGGCAGAAATGATAGCTGTCTGTAAGGAGCCCTAGCTGAGAAAGCGATTCCTCTACAGAAGAAGAATGTTGCTGTGTGTTTCTGTGAGGTGACTAGAAGAGGGTGCGGAAACATTTTCGGGGGGGAATTTGGTCAACTGTGTAATCACATATTAAATAGGGCGTGATTTAAAGCACATGTGCATTAAACCTCGACTGAGATGTATGGAATTTCAAGTCTGTATAACCCCATTCGATATTGCTGTTTCCTCTAAATTCTGAAAAAGACGAGAACGCGGCGAAGATCCAGTTCAGCTTAATGTAATCAGCTGTGAGTGTGGTACTGATAGGCAGAATTGCATTCAAAGGCTTACTCTGAGGCTTCCGCTGCCTTCAGAGAAGTCCAAAGCTGCAGGGTGATTCTCCCGTGCCCACAAGCCCAGGGGCTTTCTGGACCCTCTCTGCAGCTGAGAGCCACTGTCCCCCCGGGCGGGTGGGAGCAGGAGCAGCGTCTGGCCCTTCCGTTTCTTCCCTTGCGCTACGACGTCGTGCGCGCGGCATACAGTTCCAAGATGTAGTGTAGCTCACAGGTCGCAGAAGGGGCATCCACGGAAGTGCCTGGAAATTTGGAGAAGAAATCAAACGAGAAAAATGTAATTATGACAGTAATGTGCGAGGAATTGGAACATCGTTACAACAACTACCTCTACGTAATATTTACATGCATATTGTGAGGGATTGTGCCTTTCAAGTGATGTCTGTACCTTTGTTCTTTCTTTATATAGAAGCGCATGATTACTATGTTTTCCGTGTGTTTGAGTATATACCTGGCTACATATATGTATAGATATTGTGCCTACGTGTAATATCTTTCCACATCTAGAGTAACTGAAACACAGGTTTAGTGAAAACAGACTGAAACTCTTACCTCCCTGAGGATACTAACAAGCTCACTGGTTTAAGAGTAGTATGTCCACAAGGTAATAAAACCCAAAGCTTTGAAAAATGTAATTTTAACAGATTATAACCAGGAAAAGCAAGAACCTTGAAAGAATAGCTTTACAATTAGTCTTATGTTACTCTCTCCTGACAGCACAAAGCTCTGTGTCATAAGAAGTACCCACAGTCCTGTAGAAAGTGCTTAATATTTCTTTCAGTTCCGAATAAGGATAAAAGTTAACATATGAAAAGTTTTCAAGGAATTTAAGGATTTAAAAATTGTTTTAAAGCAGTAGAGCATTAACATTTTGTTTCACCGTTTTATTTCCAAGTGGAACTAAGGCTTTTCTTCCTGGTTTAACGTATTGACCCGATTCTACCAAAACGCTCGTGAGTCCTGCTTAGAGGAGAGAGGGGAATCTGCAAAGGCATCCGGGCCTCAGCTCTGCTGTCCCTAAGAGGCAAGATAACCGACTGGAAATACATTTGAAAATTAATATTTCAGGTCATTTCTGCAAACCAGAGTAGTCAGAATCAGGTCAGACTAGGGAACTGTAAATATTTATTTCAGGTTTTGTGACAGAAACCCGAAAAAATCTAGGAAAAAAAATCTTCTGTAAAATATTTTAGTTTTGGAATAACTGTGTTTTTCATCAGAGACCCTTTCTGATGGGAGGATCCCAGTCAGTTACGGTTGTGAGCTTTGTTTCTTAGGACCGGAGGACAGCACGCTTCCATGAAAGCTGTGGTGTGGTTGGCTTTGTCTTACTGCTGTGAACCATCTTCCCGATGGTTCACACGGCTCGCAGAGTGACAGCAGGTGGAGCTGTCATGAAAAGCCCTTGGAATTGTGACTTTCCTGGGAAAATGGTGACGAGCCTAACAGTTGGGTGTGCTTTCCCTTATGCTTTATATTAATACGTACCACCGAGTGATTTTGTGTTCAGAGCAGTATCTTTTCATATACGAGTAACCTTTTGCAATGAAGGCATTCCTTCCGATTTGAGGGCATATGGTTATCATGCAACTTGATATTTTAATTTCTCAGGAGACTAAAAATGTGGCTTATGAGCGACTCCAGAGAATTGTCATAGGTTTCAGCCAAAGACTACAGATATTGTCTATGGACCAAGACAGGACCATATAAATTCATAAAATGACTTTACAGAAATAGTTTGTAAAAGGGATTTTATAAATATGAATAAAATTTATAAATATTATGTCCTTTAGACCGTATACCTTAAGAAGTACTTGAATAGAAGAAGAAAGGATTACTACTGTTTAGAGAAAATGATAGCTTTCCAGTGTTGCAGCTGATTCTCTAGCATTCCAAACCTCTTATTACTATAATTTTACCTTAATATTTAGCCCACACTCCTCCTGGTGATATCTCAGAATCCAAGAAATTCAAATGGAACCAAGAGTTTATTTATGCATAGTGTTTCCCAAACCTTTCTTTAATGACAGTAGCACTTGCATCCCACAAGTATTTGGTTCCTGGGAAGAGGGGATAATAAATAAAGCCTTTAGCATTTCCCTAAGCAGTAAGTTATTGTGTTACAGTTACTGTTATATCGCAGTAGTGATGAACATTTAAGTGAGAAACGTTGACCGTGTATTTTGGTGGCTCTGGCAGCAGCCCAGAACCATCTGTAGTTTCTTACTTTTCTGGGTCTCCTGTGGGCTGCTGGAAGGCTCTCTGATGGGGATATGCAAATCCATCGAGCTTCAAAGCCAGCTAACAAAAGCAGAGGTAACACTAGAGAAAGCACGGCTTGATGTTTATTTAACAGGGTTTTTTATTCTCTTATAATCCTTCATGTTATCCAATGAATGTTACAGTGCATATTATAAAATTAATAAACTCAGTTTTAACAGAACACAATCTTCCATACTGCTACTAGATCTTTCCTAAGAAGTGGATTTAGTTGAGAGGTCAGGGTCAAACAGTTTCACAAGACTTTATTTAGAAGAGATCCTTTGTAGCTTTTTTTCCCATGTCTGAGCGGGTTGGTTTTGGCTTTGCATTTGCTACTGTGCAACAGCATAAAACTTGTTGTGGGAAGGGACCTCACTGGTTGTACGTTTGGCTTGCTTAGTTAGGCTTTGTTGCTTGTGGGTATGCTTCTAGAACAAATACAGCTCTTCTCAACAAAGAAACGTGAAACTGCGTGATTACTCTGTGTGTATGGAGCAGTTTCAGACAGTCCCTAAGAGGGAACAAGGTAACGGGGGAAATGGGAATGCAAAAATTACCTATGAAAAATATTGTTGTATTGTTCCCTGGGATACTGTGCATGCCGCAAAGCACAAAAGATACTCTATTTTTCTACCTGAAAATGTCATTATCCCATCAGTCTTCTTCTAAGACCGCGTATCCAAAGAAAAGGAAAAACAGAGTTGAGAAGAAAAGAAAGAAAAAATGGTAACTCAATCATAAAGCTGGACATAGTGCTGAAGAGGGGAAAAGGGGAAAATAATCTTTACGCCACCTCTTTTTATTCTGAGAGCTCATTGTTGGTGCAGCACCTGTTTTTTTATCCTCTAGATAATTTCCTTCAATAGGTAGCTTAATTCAGAAATGGGCATACAGACACAACCTGCGCACGCTCTGCTTCCCCCCCAAACAACTCATATTTTAGGGCCTGAGAAAGTTTTATGTTGGCAGTGGGGTAGGAAAGGAGACCTCTCTTACTGCAAGCTGGAGACCTGTATCTAGAAAAATGAAAAAACAAAGTAGACATGCCAAGGCCTTGAGCTTAGTTGTTTTCCCAAATGACTGCTGTCTTAGCACAGAAAAAATGTAGTGTCAACCGTAATATCAGAAACTGTATCACGAAAAACTCTGCTAGACTCCTATGGATCTTCATCTAAAATAGCTGTATTATGTCTGCTGTTACTCCAGCCAGTCTGTAATGACTTTTTCAAGCGCTACAAGTAGACGTATACTTAACTCAGACTCCTGGAAGATGGAGTATCTTGAATATCTGTTGTGAGCGTGTCAGGAGTGCCAGCAACCTGGCTGGTAGCTGTAGTTTGCCAGGGCGCATCCTTTCAAACAGAGCCATGTCTACGTGGGGGTGAGCTCACCGAGCTCCATTAATACCTTAGCACTTGAGGATACTCTACAGCCATACTGATGCCCAAATCCAACAGTTGCTAATAACTGTGCCTACAAATCTAAAAAGGAATTTTTTAGATCTTTTTGTCCTTGCCCACTTTCACCAGCCCATGATTTTTGAACCCAGACGTCTCGTATGCAGTGGAAACTGAACCTCTTGAGAAGTTCATGACTAAAGTCTTAGCTTCTTGTAGCTAAGATGTGGTAATACGGTTATGGTTTTGTGTCCAAAAACCTAGCAACCATTATTAAAGAGTGCAAAGGAGTATGAATCATTTTTTAAAAAACAAAAAGAAACAAATTGAAAATTTATGTTTTAGGGAACAGTTGTGAATAGCAAACAGCTAAGATTCTGGAAAAAGATTAATATTTTTGATTAGAAATCTGAACTTGATTTGTCACTTTTAGATTTGCAATTAGTTATGTAGCTTAGCATCAAAGAATGATAGAATAGTTTGGGTTGGAAGAGACCTTTCAAGGTCATCTAGTCCAAACCCCCTGCAGTGAGCAGGGACATCTTCAACTGGATCAGGTTGCTCAGAGCCCCGTCCAACCTGACCTGGAATGTTCCCAGGGATGGGGCATCTACCATTTCTCTGGGCATCCTGGACCAGGGTTTCACCACCCTCATTGTCAAAAATTTCTTCCTTGTAAAGAATACGTCTTTCTGCCATTTTCCCACTGCTTGGACACAAGCTTTTGTTGTGAAGGCAGGGTATTTTAAAAAGTCTTATTACATTGCTTATTGACTTGAAACAATAATAAAATCCTGCTGCTAAATCTGTCCCTTCTGGCACCATTTCACTGCATTTTTGAAATACAAAGTAA